ACAAAATTCACCTTGGAAATTCCCACTGGAAGAAACCCCATGGAAAAAAAACCCAAAAAAACCTCGTGAATTTCTCAAATTCTGCTTTAAAAATAAAAAACCTCCAAAAAACCTTCTTGAATTTCTGAAATTCTGCTTAAAAAAAATAAAAAACTCTCTTGAAGTTCTCAAATTCTGCTTTAAAAAATAAAAAACCTTCTTGAATTTCTCAGATTGCAGGGAAAAAGGGGGGAAGGTTTTAGCTCCATTTTATGGGATTCCCAAAAAAAAAATAAAAAAAATCTCAGTGACCAGACCTAAAATACCACAGCACCGACTAAAAAAAATAACACAAATATTTTTATAACGTGCAAGAGAAAAAATAAACACAAAACGCAGCTCGAGAGGACAGAAAGAAAAACATAATAAAAATATCAATTAATTCATTAATAAAAAGCACCTCCCTCTAAAAAGTTTTCTGACCCTGCAGAATTTAAGGATTCTTCAAAAGCCAGACCTGGAGAGGAGCCAAAAATAACTCTGGAAAATCAGGTGTGAGGAGAGAGAGGAAAAAAAAAAAAAAAAGGGAGATGAGAGCAGAAGGAAATGGAATTAAAAGCTGTGGGTGTGATCAGGGCAAGGGAAAAAATCCTGGATTTGGTCCAAGAGCATCCCAGGATCCCTGGCAGGACCCAATTCCATCCCATAATAGAACCCCCAGAGCCGAGCTGGGCTGGGAGGGATCCAGGGAATCTGGAATTTTCTCCTGGCAGAGTTTGGGCACTGGGCAGGGCACAGGCAGGAACCAGGAAAAGCAAAATTCTGCAAAGGAAAAGGGTCAGGAATTGATAAAAGCAAAATTCTGCACCAAGAAAATCAAAATTCTGCAAAGGAAAAGGGTCAGGAATTGATAAAAGCAAAATTCTGCAGCAATAAAATCAGAATTCTGCAAAGGAAAAGGGGACAGGAAGTGATAAAATCAAAATTCTGCACCCAGAAAATCAAAATTCTGCACCCAGAAAATCAAAATTCTGCACCCAGAAAATCAAAATTCTGCACCCAGAAAAGGGATCAGGAATTGATAAAAACCCAATTCTGCAGCAATAAAATCAAAATTCTGCAAAGGAAAAGGGTCAGGAAGTGATAAAAGCAAAATTCTGCACCAAGAAAAGCAAAATTCTACAAACTAAAGGGGTCAGGAATCGATAAAAACCCAATTCTGAACCAATAAATGCAAAATTCTACAAAGCAAAAGGGTCAGGAACTGATAAAAACTCAGTTTTGCACACCAAAGGAACCAGGAAAAGTCCAATTCCAAAGGAACTGATAAAAGCCCAAGCTCTACCCCAGGAAAAAAACCCAATTTTGTAAACTCAAGGGGTTAGGGACCAATAAAAACCCAATTCTGCAAATCAAAGGAACCGATAAAAGCAAAATTCTGCAATGCAAAGGGATCAGGAATCGATAAAAACCCAATTCTGCCCCGATAAAAGCAAAATTCTGCCAGGCCAAGGGAGTCAGGAACTGATAAAAGCCCAATTTTGTATCAATAAAAACTCAATTTTTTAAACCCGAGGGGTCAGGAACCGATTCTAAAATCCAAAGGGATCAGGAACCAATAAAAGCCCAATTCTAGAAAATAAAGGAACCGGTAAAAACCCAATTTTGCAAATCCCAGAGGGCAGGAACCAATAAAAACCCAATTCTGCCCCCATTAAAAAACCCAATTCTGCCCAGCCCGGGCACTTAAGCCCGGCTCAGAGCTGAGCTTTGGCAGAACCACTCCTAGAAGGGAAAGGAGCCAGCCTGGCTGCTGGACACACAATTATTCCATGATGCCCACAAGAAATGAGTCACTTTTTATTTAAAAAAAAAATAAAATAAATAAATGAAAAGTTTCCACCGTCCTCTTTTCCTGCCTCTCGTGTTTACCCTGAGCTGCTCCAGTTTAACTTTGCCACCCTTGCTGATCGTTAATCCTAATTAATAATTTTATATATATAATTCTAATTAAATATCCCCACATCCAGCAGTGAATGAACAAAAAAAATAAATAAATAAAATAAAATAAAAGCCAAATCTCTCCCAGCCTGGGCACCGTGAGTGTTTCTCGTGGGAGAATGTAAAACTCCACATCAAACGCAGCTCCTGGCTTGATAAATTTTATTATCCAGAAACGATATCAGCTGCACTTTGTCCTCGGAAACGGCAAAGAAACCACCCACACTCCTCACGCTGGCACTTCCCACCCATCCAAACCAGTTTTTACAGAATAATCAATTCTCATTAATCAATTCTCATTCCCGCTGCTCGCTTTACCTTGGGAAGCTCCACGGAAGGAAACTTTCTTCCGGGAAAAAAAAAACAAAAAAAACAAAAAAACCCGCAAGAAATGCAAATAAACGAGTGGATGTGCAATTCTGCAGCGAACCCAGCTCCAAAAATCCCAAATTTTCCCTCTCCAGCATCACTGCAAACCCCGAACTCCGAGCTTTTCTATGGAAAGAGCCGCTCCAAAACAGAATTTTTAGGAAAATGAAGGCACAGAAATTTAAGGTTCCGCTTTGGGGAAGGGTTCCAGCCCCACCCATCCCCACCTGGGGGCTGATCCCTCACCTGGAGCAGCAAAAATCCCAAATTCCCCTCCCGGTGAACTGCGAGAGAACACAGCTATTGCTGTTTCACCTGAATTTCTATTTCCTCGCCAATTTCTGTCCCGTTTCCACCCCAATTTCTGTCCCTTTCCACCCCAATTTCTGTCCCTTTTCCACGCCAATTTCTGTCCCTTTTCCTCGCCAATTTCTGTCCCTTTTCCTCGCCAATTTCTGTCCCTTTTCCTCGCCAATTTCTGTCCCTTTTCCACGCCAATTTCTGTGCGGTCACACGGGTTTGGGGATAAATTTCCACTCTATCTGGAGCGCGGGGTAACACTCGCACCTGAGCTCAGCATTTCGGGTGCATTCCAAGTTTTTTTGGGAGAACTTCTGCATCGCTTTTAGGGCGGGGAAGGATGGAGGATGCTGACTTGGTTCAGAGAGCCAGAACACGGCTTAGATGTGATTAATTAATGTAAAATAACCACATTTTTATAAGGAAAGGGGATGATTCCTCATCAGACACAGCTTTTAGGTTAAACCACGCAACGCGCTGCGGCCAAAGCTGCCCCAAAGGCGCACAAACCAAACGCAGAAAGCGGCGGATCCGAGCCCAAAAACCGTCGGGAAGGAGATGACGGAGCAGGGAAGGGGCAGCAGAACCGGGAACGGGGGGGAAAAAAGGGAGAACAAAGGAGCCCGAGGGTCCCCGCGGGGGGCGGACGGGACCGCGGGGCCACGGGGTGGAGAAAGTGACAGCGAAGTGACAAAGGGCACGGGCGGGGAGGGGGCAGCGCCCCGCACCCCGCAGCCATCGCAGCCCCGGCTCCTCCCGGTCCTACCGGAGCGTGGGGCCGATGCAGGCCGTGTCCGTGCTCTCGATCTCGCGCAGGATCCGTTCGTGCTCCGCCGCCGTCTCCAGGCTCTCCAGCTCCGCCATCTTCGGCCGCTCCATGGGGCAGCTCCACCTGCGCGGCCCCGCCCGGACCGGACCGGCCCGACCTCACCCCCGCCCCAGAACCGGCAGCGGCACCGCCGGGACTGCTCGGCTGCGCTCCGCCACGCGCGGGGAATCACGGGAAATGTAGTCCGGGTGGGGGCTGGGACACGTGAGGAATCACGGGAAATGTAGTCCGGGAGGGGGCAGGGACCCATTAGGAATCACGGGAAATGTAGTCCGGGAGGGGGCAGGGACACGTGAGGAATCACGGGAAATGTAGTCCGGGAGGGGGCAGGGACCCATTAGGAATCACGGGAAATGTAGTCCGGGAGGGGGCTGGGACCCTTTAGGAATCACGGGAAATGTAGTCCGGGAGGGGCAGGGCCACGTGGGGAATCACGGGAAATGTAGTCTGGGAGGGGCGGGGCCGCGTGAGGATACACGGGAGATGTAGTCCAGGTGCGGAGCTGGACCCCGCAGCAATATGGGAGATGTAGTCCAGGAGCAGTGCTGGACCGCGCGGTACCATGGGAGATGTAGTCCGGGTGGGGGGGGCTCGGCCGCGCGAGGAATCATGGGAGATGTAGTCCAGGAGGGGGCCGGGCCTGCGCGGCCGCTCCGCCCAGGGAGGGAGGGACGGAGCTGGAGCGGCCCCGGGAGCGGGAGAGGCGGGGCGGGGATGGTTCGTGTCCCTGGAGGGGACACAGCCCCGTGTCCTTCCCATGAGCGGACACAGCCCCGTGGTTCGGACACCTCCGTGAATGACACAGTGATGTCACAGTCCCCACGTTGTACCCGAGAGGGGACACGGACCCACGGCGGTCACACCCTTGTGACATCCCGGCAGGAAAGAACCCCGAGCAGAGGCTGCCCCTGCTCCTCCTGCCCCATCCTGTCCCTCCGCCCCAAAACCGATGTCACCCCCGCCCCGAAAAGGTGACCGTGGTCCCCGAGTGTGGGAAAATCGCGCTGTGGAAAGGCGGTGTCCACAGAGGAGACGGAGGAGCGCTGCAGCTTTATTGGGATAAAGGCAGAGAGCTCAGCCTCCTTTTATCCCAAACTGCCGGGTGTTCTTTGCCCTTTTTCCTTCCCCATTGCTGAGGCACCAGGAAGGTGCAGCCTTCCCAAACCGCCTGCTCCGCATCCCCCCCGAACCCGGCATTTCACCCCAAAACTCGCAAACTCCGCCTCGGGGAGACCTGTGTGTTTGGGGACTCTGTCCCGGCTCTGTGACAAACCTGCTGTTCGAAATGAACCCAAAATTCAGGAACTCACATTTATCAGTTTCAGGAGTCAGGGTTTGAAATAAACCCCAAAATTCAGCAACTCCTACTTGTCTCTTTCAGGCGTCAGGGTTTGAAATAAACCCCAAGGTTCAGGAACTCCCACTGCTCTATTTTGGGAGTCAGAGTTTGAAATAAACCTCAAAGTTCTGAAACTCTCACTTGTCTCTTTCAGGAGTCAGGGTTTGAAATAAACCCAAAGTTCAGGGATTCCCATTTATCTGTTTTGGGAGTCAGGGTTTGAAATGAACCTGAAGTTCAGGAACTCTCACTTGTCTCATTCACGAGACAGGGTTTCAAATAAACCCTAAAGATTCAGGAACTCCCACTTGTCTTTTTCAGGAGTCAGGGTTTGAAATAAACCTGAAGTTCAGGAACTCTCATTTATCTGTTTTGAGAGTCAGGGTGTGAAATAAACCCCAAATATTCAGAAACTCTCACTTGTCTCTTTCAGGAGTCAGAGTTTGAAATAAACCCAAAATTCAGACACTCCCATTTATCAGTTTCGGGAGTCAGGGTTTGAAATAAACCTGAAATTCAGAAACTCTCACTTGTCTCTTTCAGGAGTCAGGGTTTGAAATAAACCCAAAATTCACCAACTCCCTCTTGTCTCTTGTCTGTTTCGGGAGTCTGTCCCCTCTCTGTGACAAACCTGACACTTTAAGCCCCGTCCCAAAGCCGTTCCCACCCCTGTTCTCCCGCAGAGAATTGTTTGTAATTGTTTATAATTGTTTGTAATTGTTTGTAATTATTTATAATTGTTTGCTAACGCACATTTTCCCTGGCAGAAGGAAGCCCCTGCACACACCGGACCCGTCCCAGCCTCTGCCCGGGACATCCCCGGGAGCTGCGGGACCCAAAACCCCCCAAAACATCCCCGAGTGCCGCGGTGTCGTCTCTGACGTGACTCCCTCTGGAAGCGGCCGGGTGTCCCCGTGATTTATCACTTTGTGTTGGGACAACAGCGCTGGGATGTCCCGTTGGCAGCCGCGCCTTCTCAGGCGCTGTCCTCACACGGGAATGTCACGGTGGGATGGAGAGCAGGGATCCCAGACACCACCCCCCGAGGGCTCCTGCCTTGGCTTTCGTTTCACCTTCTGAGATAGAAATAAAATATTCCAGTTGTGAGCACATCTGGGAACCCCCTCGCGGCTGCTTGTGAAGGTGGAACGCTGCTGGGTTTAAATAAAGTGGAATTATGAATTAAATGATGTGGAATGATGGAATGGTGGGGTTGGGAGGGACCATAAAGATCATTTTATTGCAACCTCCCTGCCTCTGTTGTCACTTAATGAAATGAGAAGGGGATAAAAAGTCCCCAAAATTAAACACCATGACTGGATAAACACAGGAGGAGTGAGGAGAGCCTGCTGAAAACTCAGAGTCATTAATGGTGGAAAAGATCCTAAATATCACAGAGTGCAACCATCCCCCAGCACTGCCACCACTGCCCCTGTCCCCAAATGTCACATCCAGAGAGCTCTGAAATCCCCCCGGGATGGGCACTCCAAACCTCCCTGGGCACTCCCAATCCCTGAGCATCCTTTCCACGAAGAAATTCCCAAATTTCCACCCTGAGGCTCCCCTGAGGCCGTTCCCTCTCCTCCTGTTATTCCCTGGGATCAGATCCCAAATCCCACCCGGCTCCGAATTTTCAGGCAGAGCCACAAGGTCCCCCCTGAGCCTCCTTTTCTCCAGGCTGAGCCCCTTCCCAGCTCCCCCAGGAATTCTCCATTCCCTTCCCAGCTCCCTCAGGAATTCTCCATTCCCTTCCCAGCTCCCTCAGGAATTCTCCATTCCCTTCCCACCTCCCCCAGGAATTCTGCAGCCCCTTCCCAGTTCCCTCAGCCTCTCCTCACCACATTCCTGCTCCAGTTTCCTCCGTTCACGTGGAGTTCACCGTCTCTCCCATTTTCCCAGGCACGCTGTCACTTTGGCTGTGACACCATGGGATGTGTCCTCTGCCGGTGTCACCTCGGGGATCTGTGGAATTTTCCTGAGGAGCAACAATCGAGGAGACGGATCAGCAGTGGAAGGAATGGGAATGAAAATCACAGGGGGGATCCTGGTCTGGGGCTGGATCGGGAGCTGATCCCGGGAAGAGCTGCTGAGTCCCACAGCTCCTCTGGAGATCCCACAGGAGAGCCGGGAATCCCGGGGGAGAGAGGAGAATTCCTGCAATCCCCCCCATGGGATCACAGG